TAAGTTCAATAGAACCTATTATAATGGCTTCCACAAAACACGGTATGTAAGAATAGGAGCATTTGAACTAAAGTAATTTAAATTCCATCCACTTTTGACTGCTTTAAATGTTTGAGGCAGATATGTTTTACATGACAAGTCACTTAGTAACCATAAAAATTTAGAGGCATATCTTTAACTTGGAACTTTAAAGGGCTTCTTAAAATTCATCACATGTACACAAAGTCCGCGTACTCATCCAGAGGTACGCTTTAAAAACAAAAACAAGATAAAATATTATGGTCAATCGTGAGTTGTTTATAGAAAAGTAGATATTTAATTTACTTGTAAATATTATTATAACATTAGTTGAATTTTTCTTTTGTTTTAAAATCATATAATACATATACAAGTAGATTTGTCAAATATTTATTATAATTTTTGTACGACTTATTAAATTTGTTTTCGATACATGTACAGAACTAGTTCATTTACCTACTCATTCATTTTTTGCCCTGTTTCATAGCTAATATTCATTTGAATTAAAAATATACTTTCATAATAAACAATAAACCACATAACTATTTTAAATACATATTACCAAAAATATTGTTTTAATACCAATCATCTGTAAAAATTAAATTTTACTTTTAATTTAGTGTAAGACTATATAAAGAAGCTACTATGATTTTATTTATTTAACTTTTATACTTATGACTTTTCAATCTTAGTATAAATATAATTTTAAACCTTTGCACTTTATCTGACATCTTAAAATATAAACGTTATCCTGATGCACTGAGTAAATGCCAAAATAAATAATATATTAAATTTCTTGGTCCACAGGTCCCTAAAGATAAAAAAAAACAAATAAAAATAACACAAACCGATATATTATAAAAAGACGCTGTTAAAATGGTATACAATAGAAAAAATAGTTTCTGGCGACAGTACGACAATAACACAATGTGGAACTACTTTTTTTACTCTTGGATTTTTTGTCATCGTGCTTAAATGAGTATTTCAACCAGTTTTGGTCATTGAAAAATTAAATACGTATTCATATTCATTGTAAATATAGAACCAAATATAAATTGAAAATAAATTATTCAATATCTTTTTATTATTATTTCTTACTTAAAAACAACCTAGGGTAATTCAGGGAGAGACGCCTATAAGGTATAGGTATGCTTACTAAATTTAAAAAATAAAATGAAAATATTGCTGCTTTTGCTGGTTTTTTAAACTATAGGCAACTTTCTCTGACTTACTATATCTTTTATTCTTAAATTAATATTTGTGTAACTTTAATTTTTTTTTAGTAAGTACAATAGGTACCTCTAGCTAGCTTTTTGTATGTCCATTTAAAATTTTACTTAAATTCGTTGACCAATGCGAAGAAATTATTTATGGATTCTTATGTACTCACTAAATCTCACATTTATAACATTACAATGATATTTCCTATTGGTCGTCCACATAATATAATATGTAAATTAATACCTTGTCAAGAATTTGCTACAGTACTTTTAAATTAAAACAATTAGGCGTGTCTTGCTGTTTTACTTTTCAACGGTAATTGCATTCGTGTAACCTACAAATGTCAATAATATTTCAATAAATTTTGTTAGATACAATTATTGTAGCATTCAATGGGCTTAACGAAAACCCCGCTAAAAATAAGCTCATTACGAGACTAATGTTCTTTCCCATTTATGATTGGCTGCGGCTGATACTTTTTAACTGATTTTTGAAATTTTGTTACGACTTTTTTTCTTTTGACCTTTTTTCTGGCCTTACCATCAGATCAGGTCGACGATACCCAATCACTGTACTATCAAGTATCAACGGAAATAGAAACATTTGAGTAGTTTCAAGTCAATATGACAATTAGAAATAGGTTAAATAATTTTATTTTACTCTTTTTCCACCCTTAGGGGTATTTTCTTTTTCAGATTTAAATGGGACCAAATTGGAATAAAATGAAAGTATACACTCTCAAACAAAACAAAAATTGTCCAAATCGGTTAATAAATCATGAAGTTCTGAGGTAACAAACAAAAAAAATTGCCGAATTGTGAACCTCCTCCTTTTTGGAATCACTTGAAAATGTATAACATGATAATATACAACAAAGATCAACATAAATCTAAATCATATACAACATAAATCCTTATTTCTTATATCACACATCTATACTTTTACTTATAGCATTTTACATTAATAAAGCAATCAAGTTTTTGAATAATAAAAAAATACATATTATACGGCATGTCGGTAATGAAAAGTAATAAATGAATGTAATTATTTGTAAAAGAGAATATTAAATATTTAAATATTTAACGTTATCTACGCTTTACTTTATGTAATTAAAAGATATTACTGGTTTGAAGAACTGATTACTGGAGCATTTTTCAATTTTTTTTCTCCAATACCCATTAAGTATATTAATATTGTATTCGAAATAGTTAAACTGAACTTGTTTTTTATCAAACTTATCAGATTACCATCACGGAGTGAAATTTTAAAACACTTAATATTTCCAGTTCTTAATTAGTTTAAAATAAACTATAAAAAAATAACATTAAAAATCACATCACCGGTTACATCAACAAACATTCTTGATATTATCACGGTCCTATTTTTTCAAACTTTAGATAATTTGGGCACTTCCTGACTGCTCTAATCATGTGAATAGGCAGAGGTAGTATCCTATCGCTTTTGTAAAAATCACGAACGTCCCTTCATAATAGAATAAAAAATCTCACCGAGCACATTGTGTTTAAGGCAGGTAGAAGGACAAAAACGGTCAACTAAAAGGAAGGCGCTATGCAAAAAATAGGATGAAGCGTGATCATAGCGAATATTTCAGTTTATCATCAGATGTCATCATCCAAAATTGGCAAAAGAAGTGACATAGCTTAGAAATTTTATAATTCTCAGTAATTAGATCAGTTCAGATATTTTTCTATTTTCAACATAAATAAATGTTTGGCCTTCAAATATAATTGTACAATCTTAATATTAAAGAATGATTGAATCTATAGTAATAAATGGAGAGCCGATTTTTTTGTTCGGTTATACTACAATAACTACTGAACCGATCGGAATAATACTCATACCTTAAGATGCAGCGTGTTTCGGAGAAGGTTTTAGTATGAGATGTTGGTGATTAATGTACTATGCGGGTGGAGCCGCAGGAAAACACTAGTAATTAAATATCTTACAATTTATCAATTTTTATTATATTTTTATGACAATTTTGTTGACATTATCTACACTTTTAGGATTCTACTTAACAAACCAATAAAAAATGTTCATGTTCATATAAATTTTAATTGCTCTCAAATATGATTTTAAAATTATAGGATAATTATATTCAATTATACATAATATGTAAAAATTCAATCTAATATCTATCATTTTAACATTATCAAGAATAATTTATACAATCAAGCATGGTTGGCAAATTCTTAATTTTTTTTATATTATAAAAATATTTGTAAAAGTAAAATTACATATAAAAGATAAAATTTTCAATTTTATGATTATTGAATGAATATCTTTGTGTTGTTTTCTTTAGATATAAAACTAAAAGACTTTTTTTTAATGAAAGCTCACATTTCGTCGTTAAATTCAAATAAAGTTACGACTGGACAGTGACGTAAAAATTTAAATTTTTCTACTTAATTTAATTAAAACTCAATCAAGAATCTTATTAAGTCGGTAGAATTATACATTAATCTCTACGCTGGAAGCTGAAAGATATAACTTTGTATGGCATTCAATTATTGAAATTTTGGATATATGGTATTTATAATTTTTCATATTATTTCACTATTCTTTACTTTAAAAAAAGGTAATCTTCGCACTAATGAGAAAGCATGATTATAAATGGCGGTTTGCTTTGAACGTTCACTTTTCATAAACGCTACTTAATTAAAATGGTAGTAGAAATAATATTGAAATATTTCAATATAAAATAAATTTGTACTTTGTAGATTGCCCAACATATTTTATCTGTAGAGATACAATAAAGAAGCTCTATTAAAGGAGCACGTGGGCGATGACACGGGCGGTCACTAGTCATAGAGGATAGAAGGGATAGTCGATACAAATTACATTTATGGAGGCACAGTTCCAATGCAGATAACCGGACAACCTGTTCGAAGCGATTCAAATAAATAGCATAACCCGTTTAGATAAACTCTATCTGTAAATATTGGTAGATATAAATTGTAGAGCTTATCGTTTACAGTGCACCGATAAACATTTCTTACTTACATAATTGCATTTACTTCTGAATGTTGATAATTGTTGAATTTTTAACATTTTATATTGGGAGGTTCATTAAGAGATTCGAGTTTTAAAAGAAAGCTAACGATTTCTTACTGAATGTCTCCATTAGGTAGCCAATGCTTTTACTCTTTATAAAAACAATAAAATTTAACAGTGATTCAATCATATATATTTAAGTATCTATACATTATTTTAATGTTATGTAAGAAATACACATATATCTAAAAACCTTGTAAATTCTTCAATTTGAATATTATATATAATTAATCCTTACTCGTTTTTATTCCAAACTTAAAGTATACAAGCAGTAAAAGACTACGTTTTCATCAAACAGTCCTGAATATCGAAAAGGTAGTACTAAAACTTTTATTGAACTTACACTGGGCCCAGTTAAATTTATTTTGCTGGCCGTCGGAGGATCGAAGTACACCGGTGATTGATTGGAGGCCAAATGAACAATCTATAGCACCAAAGTTTGCATCTGCGTGTGAAATTGCATTTGCATTTTCATGACTTTTTTATGAAGCTCGGACATTGCTGCTCCCAAATACATTGATAGAGTGCTTGCAAGCACTATACATCAGTCTGTATTTATTTTCATATTATTTTTTTATATTTATTGAGTATATTTTACAAAACTATAAAGTTATATCTTATTTTACAATAATATATTATTTTTGGGTTATTTACTTTAGCTTACTAATCAATAACTAGAAACTTACCTTTTGTAAGCACGTGGCTCTACATTGAGCTACACGTAAAGGAGATGACACTTCCTCTTCAGCTACCACTCCAATCCAGGTTATAATCGCGGAAAATAACGAAAAATTATATAATAACATTTTGGCACACATTTTCTTTGGTATCTCTTATCTAACAACAGCGAAATTTATGGAAGTTCTCTTATCATAACCGGCACATAAATCCAAACAAATATAATGTCATAATAAAGTTTTCAGTCAAATAACAAACTTCGCTAATCCTGTAACTTTAATGCCACGCTGAACATAAAAATTAAAACGTTAAAGTGCTGTAATCCTCTACAGCATATAATGCTTTGCTTATCCAATGCAGCAATACATTAAACAAAACTTAAATTAAGCAAAATAATCGGTATCAATAACGATAACGCACAAGAAAAATTATTTCCACAAGTTGAATCGGTCGCGTTAGAACATTCCCGAAAGCCGACGCTACCGCGAGCGCGGTCGAAAGCGGACTAACCACCCCGCCTGAAGAAGCTCTATTCCTCTCCCCTCTGATAGTTAATTTTTGCGTTCCTCTCGCTCTCATGAGGGTTTTCTTTCTCTGTTGCACTCACTACGCTGTGCACGTTCATACTACGTATATTGCCCTCTCTGTCCTCTGTACTAGTGCATATATTTTATTCTATCTCGTTTCATCTCGGGCGGTTTTACGTTGTTTTTCCCTGATGCAGTTTAACGGATGGGAATGTGGTAGTTATTGTTAGACAAAGACGATGGTAGTAGAAATTTTAGGGTTGTTCAAAGGGGTGACAAAGAATCGAACTAATTCAGGGCTTACGTTTTTATGGAAGTTCGGGCGGTAAAAAGTATCCCGCCTCTCTCGTTTGTTCAAGTTTATGGTTCTCGCGTCGCGAAGCCATATTAATAATATTAATGGTTGTCGTATCAACAATAACGCTATTTTGTTGTAGACCTTTATGAATTTTTAATGTGTTAAAAATTATACGATGATTGATGTTGCGTGTATCAATTTTTTGATACGCATTTTAAGATTTTTTAAACTTTAATAATGTGCAGTTTTAAAACTTTAATATAAAATTGCAGAAATAGTAGCTTGCAAGACAGTGCGATCACGAGACCTGCAAAAATTATATAAGAACACAGTGTACGTGACAGATCAAGCCTTCCTGCGAAAAGGCATTTTTCGTTTTCTGCAGCATCTCGGGGCTGTATTCATCTCGCCGTCTTTAATCCCAGACTTTGTCTAGACGACTCTGCGGACGACTGCACACAATTTTGATACGAATATCTATCAGACCTACATCGGCGATCGTAAATTGATACTTTCAACGTTTTTGTTTGCTTAACGAAAATGCCGTCCTTTGTCTCAAAATGTCGATACAAAAAGTTGTGTATCGTTTGATAATCGGTAATAGATTGCATTATTTCTTAATGACAGCAAAGTTTTGTAGAAGCTAATGGTATAATAAGCTTTTATAAAAAACACCACATGTTTTTTAAAATTGAATAGTTAAGAGAGAAAGATATTAAGATTCTCAGATTATAAAATTAAATCGAGCAAATTTAAAATTTAACATCTTAATGGTAAGATATCAAATATAGTAGAAGAAATATATATGTATATAAAATAACGTAATTATATAAGAAAGTTGGACCAAATTGAATTATATTACTAAATTAGCGACTCACTCTAGCTCCGCTCGGGTTCATCCCTAGGTACGTTTTAACGATTAGTATAGATTTCTCAGATGTGAGATACTTACCCGCAGTAAAATTATCTTATATATTGATCCAGATAACCAGCTAGCATTATACCAAATTTCATCAAAACCTATCTAGCAGTTTTCTCGCGATGCGTTCCCAGATAGACAGCCAGACAAACAAAAATTCTAAACTCTAGATTCGGCCTCTGTATCCAAAATCAATGACATTTTCCAAAAAATATTCAATATACAGATTCGACTCAGTTAGATTTTTATTATATAAATAGATAGATCTGCTTTTGCCATCATACCCTAGCATCATACAGATGACACTAGAGTTGTAAAACGTCGAGCAAAGCTATGCGGTATACGCCTCGTCAGTAGTTCTACAGCAACTTCATTGCAGACAACGATGAAAGGTTTATAGCCTCGTAAAAACGACATCGGCGGTCAAGAATTACTCAATTGGTGCCTAGTAATAAGTAAAGATTATTAAGATTTTTATTGCATCTTTACGTATTATTGAAATTAATTTAATACGATATAATGATAATCCATACTTAATATTATAAATGTGAAAGTGTGTTTGTTTGTGTGTGTGTGTTTGTTTGTCTTTATTTCACGTCGAAACAGAGTGACGGATTGGCGTGATTTTTGGTGTGAAGATAGTTGGAGAGCTGGAGAGTGATATAGGCTACTTTTTGTCGCGGGAGATCATTTCATTCCCAAGAAAAAAACACGTTATAATACAATCCAAAAATTTATTTCTGATCAAAATTACTTGAAACTTGGTATTATTGCTTTTAATACAAATAAATAAATACATATAATATATATAAAATGTCATGTATTCGCGTAAATCTAAGAAAGTATTAAATAAATACGTGTTTTAGCATTTTTCGAAATTCGTCTTATAAGGGGGTAAAATAGGGGATGAAAGTTTGTATGACATCTAGGTACCTACCATTTTAGAGATTTTTTTTGTAGTTTTAACGCGAGCGAAGCCGCGGGATCTACTAGTAATGATATAATATTACTATTAACTGAATACTAAATTATTCCAGTTGCAGAACGTAATAAGAAGAATGGTAAAATTAATATATCCATTAGGTATATTCATCTATTCTAATATTATTAAAATGAAAAAAATGTTTTTTTGTTTGTTTATTTGTTTGTATCGAATAGGCTCCGTAACTACTGAACTGATTAGATGATTTTGGTGAGAAGATAGTTTGAGACAGGGTGAAATTTTGCATAGGGAAGCAATCTAGGGATGAAACCAAGCGAAGCGAGGGTGAGTTGCTAGTTATACATATATTTCAACCAATTTGCTTCTGAATGAACAAATGTTTTAAACGACTAAACAGCGTGTCGCATGTTTGATTCTTCATTTTTAATCATTATTTTTCCCTCAAATAATGCAGTAATGCTACTAGTTGTATAATACTATGTTAGTTGTGATAGAAGTTTTATGTTGAGATGAAAGTTTCAAAGCCTCCGACAAGACATTTAAGGGTCAATAGTAAAGTCGTAGAGTTGGTAAAAACATATTATGTTAAAATATTAGTTTCGTAAGTAATCTATGATAATTTTATTAAAGAATTATATAGGTACAAAGATAAGAATTTCATTATTTTTTTAATTAAAAGTTTGGCTCTAGGTACATTATAAAATGATAAAACATTAGGCATAAAAATACCAAGCCAAAATTAAGTAGCTATTTTGTTCAGAACATTGTTTTCATTAATATTTTAACATATTTTAATAAAAATTTGGCTACTGTACTATTCCATTAAGAGACGATGTTTAATTTCATAAAGCTTCATAATGAATTCATTTTCTTTGTTTCTTTGACAGGATTTATAACATCTTTCAACGTAATGACTACTTATCTCTTAAATAAGCTGTAATAAAAAATGTAAAACAATGGGATTTGTAAAAGGCAATTTGTTACAAAGGACAAGAGCAGCTAATTAGAAGTAAGAGCCGATGAACAACTAGCGCTAAGAGCTTAAAGATTTGCTAAATCCCTAGTAAAATATAAGCAATAAAGGTTAGTGATGTTTGTACTTTCAACAAACAATAAAATAGTTAAATAATATTCTCATTTAATAATTCAGCTTAAAACATCCCCTCAATATAAGACACAAATACATCACACTGGTCAGAAGTGTGTTGGCCAATTACAAATATGTATGCAGATTTTTTCAAACAAGTTTGGTAAGCATTTACTCAAATTGTTTTTCTAAGCGAGGATGGTGTCTATGGGCTTAAGTATATAAGAGTAGTACCTATATATTAGGAGTTTCCTAAGAGTTTTGATCTTCTGTGTAATCCTGTGGAATCCACACTTCTAGTAAATTATTTACTATATTTTCGCGTTAAATACACATGTCTGCATATAAACAAAGTGAAATAATTTTGAAAACATCTGAAAGTACTCTGTTGTCTTACACAAAAATTCCTCGTACCAAAGCCTTTAACTTTAATGATAGCTTTTCTTACACAAAATTGTCTCTTTAATGTTTGTTCTAATTTATTTTACGTGAAATGTTATTTTTTGTTTTCTTGAAGATTATTAAGAAGACGAAAGAGATTCGAATACTTAAAAAAAATAACAACAGATGCACAACACTCAACTACTATTCTCTTTTGTTGACAAAACATACCAGCGAGTTGAAATCTGCTAGTAGTAGTAAAGGGATAATATATGTATGTATAAGAAAACAATGTCTTAAGTTATTTTTTACTCACTTTCTCTATCAATAGAAAAGCTAAGTGGTTCTTGCAATAATGTGTCGTCTCAACTTGCCCGAAGCAGGTGGTGAAAACAAAATAGCTACATTGGTCTAAAATGATATTCTTACCATATTGTTAAGGTGATGATACCGATATCAGTCAATAGCGTTACTTCTAGGTTATGTAGCAAACCTAACCTAACCTAACAAACATTACAGAAGAACTAAAAAATGTACCAACTAACTAACATCAATTTGTATCTAAACTTTAAACGAAGTGGCTGAGAGGGGGTTGTTTAGAAGAACAAGGAAGTTAATTAGTAGTTGCAAGAGGCGGTCCTAGAACCAAGTTTATAGACTACTAGTAGTGTTAGTAACATGTAAAAACAGCAGAGAGAAAACTTTAGTATTTTGCTACTTTTATGTTTTTTATTTACTTCAAAGCTTAATGATAAATGAGTTAAATAGCAAAAGTTAGGCAAAGGCCATGATTCAAACAATTCATTTCATCTAATGCAAGAAATATCTATGGCTAATGTATAATAATTCACACATGGCTCTCTTTTGACGACACATTTGGCTCAGTTTGTAGTGACCCTACTTGCTGTGCCAGCAGTTGCGGGTTTGAATCTCGCTGGGGGCATCCATTTGTGTGATGAGCAAGAATGCTTGT